CCAGGTGGAGTGGAGGGCACACAATGCACAACCTGGACACCACATGCTGTACTTTGCCTATACAGGGTCTCCTCGGAGTTCCTTTTGTGCCATATGGCACAGGGCCTCCTTGAAATGGTTTGCTAGGTGTGAAAGCAGTGGTTCATGAGAAAATGGAAACAGCTGTGAAGGGAGCTGTTTGCAGTGTGCTAGTCCGTATTTTATTTATATCCAATCTTTCTTCAGAAGGACTAAGGGGGCAAATATAGGTCTTCCAATGTACGATCTGTGCAATTCCGGATTAGACGTAGATCTGATTGGATTCAGCAAGATTGCTGTGTGGTACATCTTTAAACTGGCCATGATGGACCTTCTGCCCTCAGACTTTGTCCATCCCAAAAGGACTCCCAGTCTCACCAGGCACAGGTATCCTGGCTGGCCATGACTCTTCCTTCACCATGCTCCCTTGCCAGGGATTTCTTGTTTTCCTTTTTGATGAACTACTTTGCCTTCTTCCTTGGTTGGCGGTCAGAATGAACTTTAGATGTGTGTTTGGCTTCTTCATGGCCTCTAAATGACCTTCTGACCTTTGGCCAAACTACAGCTTAGAAGTAACTCATTACAAACATAAGGTACTTGGAATTTGAATCCTTTTTTGCAGTAACTAAAGGTATAATTGTATTCATTGTGATTAAAGATGGGGGTATCTGTATACGAATAAGAATACCCCCGCACAGGTGGACATCACTGATCCACTGCAGGTGCTGGCACTGCAGAGTCTTCCAATGGCTCCAGAGACTGCATTCAGCGAGCCACTCTTCGACCTAGCAGAGAGGCTTGTTGTCCCACCTCCTACCCGGAGTGGCGAGACAAACGCAATCTCTGGAGCCATTGGAAGGCTCCACGGAACCCATGGCAGATCAGTGAGTGGACTGTCCAGGCCCATGGGGCTGGACCCTCGTTATGTCCACCCATGTGGGGGTATTTGTGTACGAATACCCCCATCTCTAATGTAGATCATAAACACCTTTTGCATTGCATCCTTCCGTGGTAATATGACAATTCATATAGAAGTGTAAAGTTTCAGGGTTCCCTATTTAGAAAGAAACATGGACCCATTGGCCTTGACAAGGGGCTGTAGTTTCCTGGTAGACTTTGTGCTTTGGATGCAGAAGGTACCAGAAACAATTCATAGAATCTCCAGGTATGAATGAAAAGAAAACAATTAATTGACATTTAAAGAAATATAATAACAGTGGCAACTAATTAAAAAGGTTTAGTGTTATAATTGTAACTGTTATTATTTACTTTTAACTCTCCAATCTCTGCGTAGAAGGATTAAGAGCAAGTAGAATAAGTAGAATTTGCTGGTGTATATGTGTTTAGTTTTGATTTTATAATTATTATGTTTGTTTTAAATTGTTATTTTGTGTTATATTTGTTTAATATGTAATGTAGTATTTGAAAGATGCCTTCTTCAGAAAAAAGGAATTTAGGAGATCTGCTGGGCAGCTAATTCTCTTAATCATAAGCACTAGTGAGCCCCAGATCAAATTGTCAGCCATGATCCCTATTGTTACAGAAAAGCTCACCTCAAGGCATGTGTGAAGTGCATTTCTTTCCCAAATGAGTTACTACATTCTCATATCTCTGGGATTAAGATGAGGATTTTACTATTTACCTCTCTGGGAATTAACCAGAATTTTTAGAAGTGACGCCTGCAAAGAACAGATGGTTCATGTTACTCATTTCTCCTTCTTTATACGGACACAATGTGAGTACAAGTTCTGCTGTTGGCCGGGCCAGTCCTTTGTAAGAGTGAGAGTGGCATATGAAAGTTGGCTGCTGTAAACCTTGAGTGTCCCAGCTTTTCTCAAACAAGTAATTTTCCTTTTGATTCAGCTCTAACGACTCCCATTATGACTGTCACTTTCTAGTGCAACTGCTTCTCAAGAATTGATTTCGGGAGGGTTGCTTATACTCAGCTCTAGGGCCCAGTATAATATACGCTTTCATAAATGAGTGTTTCTGAAGCATTCAGTGAAAGTTCTTAAGATTAGACATTTGTTTTCGACACCGATTCAAAAATAGCTCAACTGTACCAATTTTTCCCTCCAGGACACAGTACATTTCCTTACAATTCAGTGCAAGAGACAAGCAATTCTTACATAGTAGAAGCTATAAGAAGTATGCATGCACTGCAAGGTGCAAGAAGCCTATAGTTTGTAATGTAAAGGAGTGTAGCCCCTCATTTATTTTGGGCAATGTGTCTTAAGCCAGCAAATCTTACATGTGATATAAATACATATTTCTAGAACTTCTGGCCAAAATCCTGTTGGTTGATTATGCTGGCATAAGTGCAGTGACGTTAACTGCCAACTGATTAACAAGTGTAGCGAACAGCCCTGCCCTCACCTGTCCATCACTGCTGAACAGTGGAGAAGGAGCCAATGAGAGGACAGAAGGCGGAGCCAAGGGGGGAGGGGGCTGGATATAAAGGCTGGTGTATGGAGTCTGATGAGAGATTCTGGTAGTTAGAGACAGCGTGAAACTTATAAGTGAACTAAGAGTGAATTAGAGATCTGTAAGAACTTTGAATGGAATAGAGAGTTAATAAGAGTTTTAAAGTTAAAGTAGAAGCAAAGCAAAGCATGCTGCTTATATACCACCCCATAGCACTTCAAGCACTCTCTGGGCGGTTTGCAAGTTAATTACGCAGGCTACACTCCCCAGCGAGCTGGATACTCATTTTACCGACCTTTGAAGGATAGAAGGCTGAGTCAACCTTGAGCCGCTACCTGGGATTGAACCCCAGGTTGTGAGCACAGTTTTGGCTGCAGTACAGCAGTTTAACCACTGCGCTACGGGGCTCAAAGTAGAATTGATTCAAATATAAGTGATTAGCGACCTATGATTTATCTATTGAATATTAATTATATATTAACTCCCCTGATCTAATAAAGGACTTAAGTTTTAAAAGCACACGTCTCCATGATTAAATGGTATTAAAGCAGTAATACCTGGAGGCAGTGAAGAAAGTAGAAGAGCGAGAATCTCGTGAAGGCCTGGGGGAATAGGGGCTTCAGAGGAGATCGCCACAACAAGTTGCCACGTGTGTCTCTCTTTGTACACCAGCTCACATGACTAGCCCCTAAAAAGGGATAAAAGTGGCAACTTCTTAACTAGGGCAATTAATAACTGCAATTTTTGTCACTGCATTTACGCTGGTGTAAGTAACCAATGGGTCCCTGTCACTTTAAAACAATACTCTTTCTCCTTACAAATACACTTCATCTTTACCTGCAGACCCCCTTGACATCCTGTTATAACATACTTTGTCTTTGCTTGAGGCCTCTTGCATCAGCACCTGGTACCCAGCCTATGCTTTGGTGTTTGGTTGGTTGGTTGGTTGGTTTTTGCCTCTCAAAAAGTTATATAGGAACATCTATGCTCGAGAATTGTATAGAA